GAACAAGGGCTGGTTGATATGGTTGGTGGCAGGTCAGATTCTTTTGGCCTTTTGTGGGTGTTTCTTTGGCCAAAGTGGGGAGCACAAGGAAGCACATTTGGTGGTTATGGTGGTGAATAAAAGGGGGCTTGTTTTGGGGCCTATAATTAGGCCAAATGAGGGGACAAGGAAGGGCCTGATTTGGTTTATGGTTTGACATTAATTTTGGCCAATTATACATTATTTCATTGAAGAGATAATGGGGGGGGGATTAGGGAGATGGACATTTCGTCCATAATGTAGGAAGAGGAGGGGAAGTGTATTATTTGATTACTTAAAGGTTTAAGAATAACAAAAGAAAAGGTTTTTGGTTTGTCTTCTTCTTATTTTCAGTCAAGGGACTTAAAATAAGTGGAGGAAGACTTTATTTGAAAGGGAATAAAAGACAAGGCAGTTTGGATATTTAGGGATGGTTTGGGGTTTAGATGGCTCGGCCTAAGTGGGATGTAGGACAACAATGGTGTTGGTTTGGGCTTCATGATAGGAAAAAGGAATGAATTCAACCCAATTAAAGTCACCACACTTTGGCTTCATTCTCCTGATTTGTTTTTCCTTTTGTGGACTAAGGAAAGTCTTCGTTGACGCTCCCGAATATCTAACACTAAGGGAAATCCTCTCAAATATGTCCAAAAGTTTGAAAATTCAAGCACATGATCTGTATATAACTTTATATATGATCGGACCAGTCTCTACCCAGAAATATACAGGACCGGAAAAGGTTGGGTACTGGACTGGCGTCAGTTGTCTCCACTCTCCACAAGGTTCGAAATTTCTTTCAATCGTGATTTGTGTAAGAGCATCTGACTTCATGGCTTAGTTTAACCCTTAAATTGCTGACATTATGCTTTTTGGTCTTCGTCAAAGTTGCAGCTCTTTAAGTTTCCTTGCCAATGGAATATAGCACATCGCAATTGGACATTTTTCGCACTGAGATCTGATCAATTTACTATACAGATGTCAGTTTGAGCGCGAAGATAACTTGAAGCTTCTTGGTTCTGGTTTTACAACCGTGCACCCCGATCATGATTCATGACAACCATCGAAATCACTTCATTAAGGATCATTTGGACATATTTTATCCTTCTTCTTAGCTCCAAATTTCTTTTGATCCGTGCATTCTGAAGTATCCATAATATCATTTTTCATAACCAATCTCCCAAAACTAGTGTACTTTCAAATATGTGGAAGATCTAGATCTCAATTGTGTGCCAGAACTTCGCATAATATCCATGTGTAAAGCATGTAATTATAGCATCTATCAGTGCTCATAGCCAATATCGCTTTGATGGTTTCTATTTTAGAACTTGCTCATCAGTTGGGATGTCTACATTGCTGTCAAAGAAATCTTTCTTGAATTCAACACGGATAAATCCTTGTCTAGTGCTCAATAGGTATCCATTCCATAGTTCTTAAATCCATTGGAGTGTAGACCGATTTTCTTATCCTCTATCATGCATAAGGCTGGCATGGAATAAGTTGAGGCAATTGCTGGTCATATTTGAGATCCAATTTGGGGTCATGTTACGTCAATATGGAGATATGCACAGATGCTCCAAGGTTCTCTGGTTCTCCCCATTTGATGCATTTTGGCCAACAAACACCACCCCTCCCAAAAGTATGGATGACGTGCAATGAATGTTTATGTTCTCTAATACTGTTGCCAACAATATACATATATAAGAATAAAACAAATGTTTACTCTTACGTACTCCGTATATATCTTTTTAAATTCAATTTTTTTTAGTTTAGACTAACTTCACTTGGCATAAAGCGGTAGTTCTTGTTGATCAAGAAGTACACTCTTGGACTTCATTAGTCCTTACATATGTTTTTACTCCTTTTGATTCTGCTCAAAACCCTAAATTTCACAACATTTGTTGGGCATGATTATGTGGCACACATTCAACCTTGTTTCACAAACACTTACCTCATTCAATAAAATTTTAGAGGGTAACCTTTACTTAGTGCTCTCAAGGGTATTTATTAAAGCAAACTATTTTCATTGTTAGAAGCTTGTTCCAAAATAGTAATAATGATTATAATACTAAATAAGTTTAAATAGTAATAAAAGTATATATAGATATGTGTGTGTGTGTGTGTGCATACATACATACGCACACTTTGGTTCAAATGAGAATGATGCACGGTAAAGGAATGAGAATGCATATGATTCATTAGATTTAAGATCTAAGGGCCATTAAAAATAAAAAAAATAAAAAAAACAAATAAAAAAGGTGGCATTTTGGTAAATAAATCAAATTTTACTGCCGATGCCAAAAATGCTCTACTGCAATTGTAAAATACATAACAGTGGATGACATGCTTCGGCAAGATGCCACCAAGCTCACCACATTACACTGCAAAGCTCACTAATAGCCAATGCAAAGCTCACCTGGAAATAAAACAAAGCTCACCACTTTGAACACCATACTCACCATTTTTTTAAATTTTAAAAATAAAAAAATTAATAAAAAAATTTCAACACTGGTCAACTACCGGTCAGCTGCAGCGGCAGGTGGCAGCGACGGTCAACGATCAAAATCTAGTCAGCACGTCTTCTATTGATTTTATTTTTTCAAACAAAAATCAATGTGAAAAAATAATGTTGAGCTTTGAAGTTGGTGTGGGTGAGCTTTACAGTTGGCAGTGGTGAGCTTTGCGTCATTGACCGTAGCATGTCATCTCACCGTAAGATGTCATCTAGTTGGAGTCAATCCCATACACACACTTACACATGCTCTCATCCATGTTTGACGGTTTTTGGTCAGACACTTGCATTTAGTTTTTATCTTACACCCAGTTGAGCAAAACATAACTCAATTTCCCCTTTGGGCTCAATCAGAAATACTTCAATTTTATTACTATAATGGACTTGTACACTTCCATTGGTTCATAGCATTTTGCTGCTTTGTTACTGACATTTTGTTTGTAAACTATCTCCCATTCAGGTTAAAAAGCGATGTTTCTGATTTGAAACCAAAGTCCCTAGATGCTTTTCAGAAAAAAGAGAAGTACATCATGTCAAAGGTACCGATCATTTCCCTGATCATCATTCTTGAATCTTGATATTCTATATTTGATGTCCATGATCCTTAAATAGTGAATTTATTTGTGTATTACTGTTGTCGATACTTTTTCATCTTTATGTTTCCATTTATTCGTTGTGCATCTTCAGTTAAATTGAGAATCCTTAATAGTTGTTAAAGAGTATCTCACATCGAACTTGAAGATAAAATAAATTGATATATAAGCTCTTGAGTTGAACTAAGTAATCGATTGGATTCAATCCTTTAATGTATATCAACCCAAGTGTCGTATGGCTCACCGATCCATACCCATTCTAAATTCTATCATGGTCTCAAAGCCAGTTTTAGCTCAACTTGTTTGTCAAGGTGTCCGTCTAGACGTTTATTCCTAGCAGCCCTACTGCTTAGCCAAGTTGTCCGTGTTCAATGCATATCCAACGGCCTGTGGCCCGTTTAACCCGATTGCTCGTCTGGAAGTCCATACCCAGCGGCTCGTGGTCCTTTAGGTGTTGGCGCTAAAAAAATCAGGGGAATGGAAATTCATTTGTAAGTGGTCAACCAGTTAGATTCAAAATTGCCCAGTTGTGCACTTAAAGGGGAGTGTTAAAGATTATCCCACATCGGAACTTGAATATAAAATAAATCGGTATATAAGCTCTTGAGCTGAACTAAGTAATCGATTTGATTCAATCTTTTAATGTCGTTCAACCCAAGTGTCATATGGCCCAGTCCACTGATCCCTACCCCATTCTAAATTCTATCAATAATGTTGGGAGTCGTGTTTGTTGTACCGTCCCACATCGGCAAATATATTAAAAATACTACCCCCATATAAAGAAAAGTGAAACACTACCCATTAGCTTAAGCTTTTGGATAGAAAGTGGATCTAGACTTTATATAGGCAACTGTTCAAATCTCACCCAACACTCCGCCCAGCTCACTCGACCCACTGAAATTTCAACATGGTATCGGAGCCAAGTTTGGTTCGGGTTCGATTCATCTTGGTATTCACCAAACTAGCTACAAGTGATTGAGATGCTAGACCCATTCATCGAAGTAGTAACTAGACCATGCTATTTACCGCTTGAAGGGGGTGTTCGGAGCTGTGTGTGGTACCGCTCCACATCGGCATATGTATATTCAAAATACTACCACCATATAAAGAAAGACGAAGCACTACACATTAGCTTATGCTTTTGGATTGAAAGTGGATTTGGACTTTATATGTGTAATTGGTCAAATCTCACCCAACACTCCGCCCAGTTCACTCGACCCACCAAAATTTCAATAGATAGGTTTTTCAGTTCTGGTCTAATTTGCATGTTCTCATATAAAACGACAATTTTGTTTACATGTTTAGATGAACACTGATTCATTATTTTTTTTGCATGTTCTCATGCAAATTTACATTATTTTCTCCTCATAGCATGCATTGTATGATAAGGAAGACATGGAAAAGGGCATGCAACTGTGCCTTGGATATGCACACTTAGATGCACACTTGAATTTTTCAGATGACATTGATTCAAGCATTTTCCCTTTTGTGGTTTCAGTATGTTGAAAAGCTGTTTATCAATAAAGAAGCTCTACTATATAACATGAATGATGTTATCACTAGCATCTGGGATGCAGTAAAGGCAGGCAATTTGAGGGAAGTCTATCGAATAATCGTGGCATCAGATGCAAATACAATCAATGCCACTTATGATGAGGTGGTTGGTGCATCACTATGTCATGCTTTTTCTGAGCATGAATCACTAAGAGGATTTCACGACTCTAAAAAGAAATGTTATGATCCAGCAGCCTGTGAAAATATCGAGCAGTGTCTCCAAGGGTGTTCAATATTACATCTAGCGTGCCGCTCTGATAATCCTGCAATTGTTGAACTACTGCTGCAATTCGGTGCGGATATAAATTGGCGTGACTTGCATGGAAGAACTGCTCTGCATCATTGCATTTCAACAGGGAACGATCAATTAGCCAAATTTTTGCTTAGAAGGTAAATCTTATATATCCACACCAAATGAACATTCAATATGCAGCAAATAATGTTTAATCTTCATCCAATCTGACACGAGATAGTCCGTGACGTTTTGTTCCCAGCCTGCGGTGTTAGTAACTGAGGTAGATAATAAGTTTATGTCGGCTTCTAATTCCTAGTATCTAAGTCTAAGCTTCAAAACTTCAGACATTTGGATTGGGTACCTAATGGTGATGACCCCTGAACTACGGGGCATTACTCCATTTGCCCAAAGTTTGCCAAGAAAACTTCTTATTTGCAGGTTGATTGTGGTGTTATTAAATTCAATGTCTTTAACATGAGGACACATCTATGTCTTTTACTGAGGCGCTATACTACAGAACCACATTATTCTTCTTTCACATATATAAAAAGTATAAAGAAATCACCCGAAACAAGGAAAAAACATAGCCTTATTTCCAAAATAGGAGTGACATGTTTTTATCCCCCATAATAAGACTATTGCACTATGACAATGTGACACTGTATATTGGCATTCCACATTGTTTTTTGGTATTATATGTTGGCATTATTGACATTATAGGTACTATTTTTGAGATAGAAATATGAAGGTCCTACTTTGGATCTTTCCCTATGTTTTATTCCTAATTTAGTCTTTCCCCCAAAAGTATATGAAGTTTTAATTGAATAAGCAGTTTACTTAAAGCCGCCCATTGAACGTAATTGAAGAGAAATCCAATGAAATCAACATTTATGAACAAGCATCTTTTTATTCAGAGGGGCTCGTGCTTCAGTTAGAGATGCTGGGGGTTTCAGTGTACTCGAAAGGACCATGGAAATGGGTGCAATCACCGATGACGAACTGTTTGTCTTGCTTGCTGAGAGTGAGTGAATTGGCGGGGTTTCTATTTCGAACTTGTAAGTTTGGTGAACTCTCCCTTAATTGTGACCTTTATTCAGTTCCTAACTTGTCTGCTTACCTAATTCTTCAAATCTTTCAGGATTCCTCTGAAGCAGTTTGGTAACTGGAATGGAAAGAAAGCTGTTTGAAGTTGGATTATTTCCAAAGATTGGTAATTATTTCTATTGTTCCCATTGTTGTAATGTTTTATTATATATATTTGAACAAAGGTTGATGATAATACAGACCAAACTGTCCCTCTTCTGTGTCCCAACTCTCTGTCCCACCATTCACATTCTGCCACGCTATCCCACCACCCTTCAAAGATGGATTTAGAGGTGGGGGGGGGGAGTTTTGTGGCACAATTTGAATGGTTGAACAGAGAGTTGGAACAGGGAAGAGAGACAGACAGAGGATCCAAGCCCCCCAAGAGACTAGTTTGTAAATCTTTCATCTGTTGTGAGTATGTGGCAAAACATTTGTAGTCATTGACTATCCTCTGATATTGAAGTGCTAGACTTTTATTGCATAAAATTAAATTACTATTTCATGCCGTTGGGAAATTCTGACTACCATTAGTGCATAAATTTAGAAATGACAAGGGTTCGTGGTTGATGTTTATTTACAAAAAAAATAAGTAGTATTGCGGAATAGATAGTAATCTCTCTGTCCCACATTCCTTTCTTCTCAATTTAAATTGTTTGAATTGGTTTACGATATTTGACTCAATATATTTTTATACTCCGTAATTCAAATTATTTGAGAATTGGAGTGGAATAAAAAAAATAAACTTTACATATTTAAAAATTACTTCGAAACAAGAGGTGACATGACTGTTTTATTTTTTTAAATGAATAACGAAAATAGGGTTAGAAAGTGAATGACGTGTAATTTTATAAATAGTGTACAGATAATTTAATTTAAGATGGATGTAATTTTTTTCATTTTGGAAAATGGTGAGATTTAAAGAATGTGCAAATCTTGCATTACTTTTTATTTCACCTTTAATTGTAGGGTAAATCATCGTCCTAATTTTCTATAAAAAAATTCTAAATTTCACACGTATTGTTAGAAAAGTAAATAGTCCTTTGTCAGACACTCAGACTTATATTTTGCGCTAGTTTTATGACTTATCAACCTGACCATTCCATACATGGACGAAACACAATGGAAGCGGGATAAATGTTTTCCCCAAATGATGAAGTTGAATAATAAGACACAATAGACTCTAAAAATCAGCACCTACAAGCACAATAAATAGCATCATAAATATATATGGAACACACAATTTATGTGGAAAGCTCAAATCAGGAAGAAAACTAGGAGACCATTTAACAACGATACCAAAACTTGCACTAATCATCAATAATCAAGTGACTATAACAAGCTCTCTCTTTATAGTACTCCTAGAGGCAAATACAATAATCAAGGAACATTCTTGTCACAAAAAAAATCAATAATTTTACCGAAATAGAGTAAAAACTCCAAAAATGCAAGTCTAAAAACGCAACAAGAAAACCATGTATTCTTTCGGGCATCAAAATAAGAAACTGACAGCTAGATTTAAAGGAGAGGATGTGTGGAACAACATACTAAAATTTGAACGCATTCAGACTTCGTTTGACCTTCAATCTAGATGAAAAACTAGGCTGCCAAGTTTCTGCACGTAGGCTTCTCCACTCTCCCCTATCACTCTAGTAGTTTTTCTTTATCTTATTTGTTAGCCACACAAAGGAGAGACATGAACCAAGATAAAACAAAAAAGTTTGGTCTAAAAGTCAAGTTCAAAGATTCCAAATAAAAATGAGAGATATAAAATGTTGTTCAATAAAATTAGACACTTCCTCGATGTAGGAAGAATATTTCTCACAAATCACCCCCTCACTTTTACACGGAGTGAGCAATCAAATTGACATGCTCTCGGTAAAATATGAGCTTCTCCTTTGGCAAAGTCTTGGTCAACATATTTGAACAATTCTCACTTGTGTGAATCTTCACAAGCTCAAATGTAGTGTCCACTACCGCTTCTCGAATCCAATGATATATCCTCTTAAAGCATGTTCTTTAAAGTTTAAACTATTAACTTTTAGTGTTTTCGAAATCTTTTCTGTTTTTTTCCTGTGCTTTCGGTTTTTCTAATTTCTTCACTTTTTTCAAGTCCCATCTAGTTTTTTCTCGTTATTTCCAGTTTTTTCAACTATTCCCATTTTCTTCAATCTTTTAATACTCCCTAAATAATGACTTTAAAACTGATATGCTTTTCATGTATTATTGTTATTATTACTATTATTATCTTCATAACTATAGCTTATAAATTATTTTAAATTTTAAATTTTGATTTTTTCTCATGTCATTTTTTGTGATTTACACTCATTATTATTTCTTTCTATTTTTATATAAATAATACGATGCACAATTTTAGTGACAAAATTGTTTTTTTCCTATTAATTTACATGACACTAGCCTATGTTCCTAAAATTATAAATACTTTATTACTCTAAACTGACCTGGGAAAAACATATATATTTTAAACTAAAAAATAATAATTGCACTACTCTCTGTCTCTAATTAAATGACATGTACACTATTCACATAGTCAGATTTTATTTATTTTCTTTACGTACTGTGATAGTAATAATGATGATGATGATGATGATGATGATAACAATAATAATAACAATAACAACAACAATGTGAAGTTCTTTCAAGATTTTGAAGTTAAATAAATTATTGAAGTTCTTTCAAGATTTTTCTAATTTCTTCTAGTTTTTTTTAGATTTTTTCCGTCTTTTAAGTTTGTTCAAGTTCCTTCCAATTTTTTTTAGTTTTTTTTAGTTTTTTATATTTTTTTTTCAATTTTCTCAATTTTTTTTGTTTCTTCTAATATCCAACTTTGTTTCCAAATATAAAGAATAAGCTCTTAAAGAATCACAATGAAGAAGATAACTCTCTTATTCTTGTTGGATATATGAGCCCTAGAGGCCAATGTATGAATCGGTATCTGAATATTTATCAAGAATAAAAGGCCCTAAAGATTGCTTATACATCTCGTGTATGTAAACATGGCTTTAGTCCATAGACTTAGCGCTCTGGTAACATTGATTAGAACTACAATATTCTGATTATGCGGTTGTTACATTAATAGAGGTTATGTCTAAAATGTCTTTAGTCAAATATTATGATAATACGGACACCATAATATTAGAGATAAAGGGATAAGAGTTAAACAAATGTAATGTGTCGTTGGAGTTATTATTGTTGCAATGAACATCATGTTTATAACTTGAGTAACGATAAAGTGTTGCTAGATATCGCTTATCATTTATAATATTAATTATGAATTAATATTGTTGCCAACGTTATGAATATCTAGAAACATAGAACAATTGAACGAAGTAGAATATTAAATTAGAAGGAAGTAAAATAATATTATATATTTATATGGGACGTGTGACGTACATGTAAAATATATACATTGACATTTTAATTATGTGATATTTATGTTTGTCAAATATTATTTTTGTATATAAAATAAAATAAATTTAGTATACGTATACATGGTAATGTGTTATCGAATATATATATATATATATATATATATATATATATATATATATATATATATATATATATATATATATATTACTTTAATTAGATGATAATTAAAGTTAACAAAATAAATTGTTATATTTTATTAGGTAGGGGCCGAAAATAAGGAGAGGAAGAAGAGGAAGAATTTGATTCTACCTCTAACTCTTTAATTAGTTACTTAATTTAATTAAGTAATAATTAATGAGTTTCCTTCTCCACACCACTACATTATATACAACCACACATGCTTATCTCCACCATTCTTGTGCAGTTTGATCGAAAACAAGAGAGAGAGAGCTAAAATACCTAGAAGAAAACTATCGTGATATTTTTCATCATAATTCCTAAAATATTTCATATTATAGTAATAATCTAGGAAGAATTTATGGTAAATTCTTCTTAGAACATCGTTCGTTGTTCATGTGAATGCGCTAGAGGTTGGATAATTTTGTGGCTACGTTCGTTGCACTAATCCCTTCACCTACATTGTCTGATCTTGGGTGGTAACGACGATTAGATATAAAATTTTGTTTCTCGATGTGCTACCCATACGTGGTTACCCAACACTCCCAAGCCAAGCTCTTTAAGAAAATTCCTCATCCATAACAACTTTTTTCCCGCCTCAACAGCTGCTATATACTCTGCATCAGTATTGGACAAAGCAACACACTTCTGCAAACTCGATTTCCATGAAACTACAGTTCGAGCAAATGCCATCAAGTATACTGTGGTAGACTTTAATTTGCAGTATCAACATTCTCATGCATATATGCATCTGTGTACTCATCTAACACATGCTGTTCAATATCAAAACATAAACAAACTCTAGAGGCGTCTTTAAGATATGTGAGAATCCACTTCACGACTCCCCAATGCTCTTTACTCAGATTCAACATGCAGCGACTGACAACCCTAATTGAATGTGCAATACTAAGTCTTGTAAGACATCTTATCAAACTGCCCACGGCGAAAGCGTAAGACACCTTATTCAGCTCTTTTTTTTCTTTCTCACTTGAAAGATAATGGTCCATAGTTAACTTCATGTGGCTTGCAAGTGGAGAGCTCACAGAGTAGTCACAGGTTTAGCATTGCTCCTGTTGAAGAAATGTTATTTTCACATCAAACTACTCAATCTCCATACTAGCAGCCAAGCCAAGTATAATTCTGATAGAGGAAATCTTAACAATTGGAGAAAATATCTCATCAAAATCTATGTCCTTCTTCTGACTGAACCTACAACCTATCTTGCATTGTACCTTGGTTGTGAGCTACTCTCATCACACTTCAATCTATAAACCTACTTGTTTTTTAGTGCGCTCTTTCCCTTAGGTAACTCCACAAGCACATACGTGTAGTTCTCGTGCAAGGGTGTCATCTCATCTTACATGGCATCATACCACTTCTTGCGATGCGCGTGCGACATAGCCTCATCATATGTGTCTAGCTCTCGTGACTAACACAAAATCATCCTCTGAAGGTTTTAAGGAGGGTTTTTAGGAGTGTCATCAACATGGTTGTGCATATCTATCCCATGAACTTGATGAATCTTGATGGACTACAACACGAGAAAGGGATGGTGTTGGATCAATTATTATGCATGGAGAAGGATTTGTCCGCTTTTTCTCACAATCTTCATGGATCAATTATTTTTGGCCACTTTTCTATCACATGGATCCCGTAACATGTACCCAAACCCAATGTTCTGCAATCAAAGACTCTCAAATGCTTATAGGATACATCTTTCTCAAACCAAACTCTCTGAAGAACATCACCTTCAAAAGGAATTATTAAAGGGAAAAGTTAATCAAGTAAACTACAATGAAAATTGTGTTTCCCCAAAAGGACTTTGGCTTCTTAGCATGAAACAACATAGATCTGATTCTGTCTTCAATAGTTCTGT